ATTTTTAGACAAACACTTTCACAATTAAGGAGCAAAAAAAAAAAAGAAAAGAAAAAAAAGAAGAAGTTTCAATTATGTTTGCTCTCTTCTTCTTTCATTTTTACGAAAGTGCCAGAGTCCAAATGTGATCAGCACTGTTTGATTTAGGCTAGTAGGCAACAGAAAATCAATATTGTATGCAATGCATTTATCTGGGCATTACTCCATCTGATCCTAGCAAACGTAACACATAAATGATAATAAATTACAACACTATATATAAATTAATAATAATAATAATAAATTACAACACTATATACTAACAGAATTCATACTTCATACTTGTTTTTTCATGTCATGTTCAGTGATTTTTTTTTTTACTTGTTTTTTTCATGTACTTTTCAGTGATTTATGTTTAACTGTACATGTATCAGTTATCAGTTCATGGGGGCTGAAGTGTACTGATCATGCAACCAACCCTATATCACTTAATCTCGTTCACTAACCCCTCTGTAATTGTACTCTGTGTTCACATAATGAATCATGGATGAATGGACATGTCGACAAATTAAACAATGACAAAACCTATTTGTTCATGCAGACCTTCTGAAATAAGATTTATCTAGTTCAACAAGTTTTAACAATGTGTGTCTTTTGGAGGCAACTGGCCTCATTACTTCAAGTCATGTTTTAATATAATGTTTTAATTAATAATGGGGAGTAATAATAAAAGTCCAAAGTTTTTAAGTTGTAGTCAAAGAGAAAGCAATTCATACACAGCAATGCTCAAATGGATGCTTTCCCATGGAGAATAATAATAGAAGAAGAGAGTATTTGTCTTTGGTGCACATGATCTACTTCTTATACTGGCTGTATTTTACAGTTTGAGTGGGCTTTTGAACACAGAGGTTGTTGTGAGTAATTAGGAGGATTTTAAAGAGATAGTTTACTGTATCTTTATTTACACACCTTCATGTGGTTTCAAACCTGTTTGCTTTTCTTTTTTCCAATGAACCAAATGTAAGATATTTTGAACAATATTACTTTTGATAATAATTTTGTACTATTGAAGTCAGTGGCTCAGAGTTTGAACCAAAGTGACGTTAAATAACAAAGCAAATGCCAGTGAACTGACTATCACAAGCTAGTCCATTTATTAGTTCTATGACAGAGCTGAAGTAACAGGTTGGTTGGAGGTTAAATGCATGTAAACCTTCTCTCAGGCAGCTGAAAACAGATTACTAAAAATCCTAAACTTTTATTTCATGAATCTAATTTTGACCCTTATTTTTATCTGACTCTGATTTAAACTAATTTACATTTAGATTCATCTAATTGAAGCTGATCACCTTAGGTTGTAATATGGTCTAATTTAGATTGATTACCCTAATAATTCCTCATTTTCAGTTAAATATGTCTTATACCTGTATCCTGCACTTGCTACTATTGCACTGCTGGTTAGACCTAAACTGTATTTCATTGCTTTGTACTTGTACATGTGTAATGACAAGAAAGTTGAATCTAATCTAATCTAATCTTAATGGTTCATCATTTACCCGCAATCAGTATGCTGTCCTCAGTATGCTGTACATGTGCTCACGGACACAGCCTTGCCAATTCTGGTTCTTAGATAGAGGATATTACTGTAAACTAATTTCCTTTAAGTAGTATTAGGTCGCCCCATGCTTGCTCATACATAAAGAAATTTTGATTTAGCTACTAGATTATATCATACTAAGTCAGTGATTGTCAGTCTTTAAAGCTGTGCCTATGCTCACTTCATTAAGCCTGATTGTATGACAATCCTGGTCGAAGGGTGCGGAAACCTAAACCTAAACAATTTACTAGATTTACAATGATTTCAAGAGATGTAAAAAAAGAATTTTACATTTATTTGACAAAGATTTTCCATGTCAATTCACATAATTAAACAAAATAAGCCAATTAGGAAATGTAAAACATCAGTTACACAAAGATATTTAAGAGTTAGAGATTAATACCGGACCGTGCCACAAGATGGGCCCTTGAAGCAAAGTGTGAAGGGGAAGGGCTTCAAAATTTACCACTAAAGCCTGGTTTATTCTAGACGCATCCGCTAGTTCACTTGAGTGCGCCGCGAATGTGACTTCATCTATGTGTTCGCGGAGGTTCGCTTTGGGTGCGCATGACATGGTTCGGCTGGCGAAGCCGACATTTTCTTTGAGAGTCGAGCGAAAGGAATTTTTGAACCAATCAGTTTACAATATACTAGTGCTCTGTTTTTCTAGGCTTTTATTGGTGATAATGGTCAGGAATGTTGGACTATTATTGCCTTTTTGGCATATCAGTAGAGGACAAAGTAGCCAGACACTAATGTGTGAATTGTTTAGTGGGTAAATAAAAAAAAGTCTTTAGTTTTTATATTTTTAGTAAGCATACTTTTTTTGTTGTTGTTGTTGTTCTTGCCATAATAAAAATATATATTTATAGAGTAACCCATGTTCTGTTGTCATTAATATTTTTAATAAACTTTTATAGGTAGAACTGAACAAAAGCAAGTGATGCATCAAAGTTTGAATAAAGAAATCTTGAATGGTTATAAAGATTTTTTTATAATTATTCAAATAATTTTTAAAAATAATGTTTTTAAAAATCTTGAACGATATTAATGATATGACATAGTTCTGAAAACTTCCTACTTCTCCGTTTATCCGTCTGATTTTACAGTAAGTTTAAGCCCCCTACTGTTTTAAAAAATATCACAAGGGTGAATGTGTCAAGTATGAAAGCCTTCGAGGTCCACGATGTGGCACCAGGCATAAGTATAAATCAGGCTTAAGAAGTGGGACACCACTACAGCACCTGCACACGACATCATGTCAATGCGATCTCATACCGCATCAGATCATACAATGGCGACAGATGCAGCTAATCCAGTTGCATTATTTTTTGGTATTTATCTTTAGGAAATCACTAAAGGCATATAATATGCTATCATAATGATCTAATGTAGCAATAAGATCATAACTGTGCATTTACACAGTGGCCATATTCATCTATGTAAACAAATAAAAACAACATTAACAATATAGTAGACACTGTAAACAGCTTATTCCCAGCCACTAGACTTTTCTGACAAGGTATTTGAGTGTCATCGAGTGTCAGAATGTTGTTGAATTGGAGTTGAATTGGGATTGGGCCTTAACTATCCTTACATTAGATACTGTTTATGTAGTGTATTCTATAAATAGAATCAAATAATTAATTAATTGGGTAAGTTAATGATTTTCTGAAAAAAAAAAAGAAAGCGGCTGATGAATCATTGTTTTGAACAAATTAGTTCAGTGAATTATCAATAATTACTCATAAAGACTTGTTAATGCAACCTGCAACAAAATTGCCCTACACTAAATGCGTCAACTTTACAGTCTGTCTGAATCACCGCTTTCTCATGGTCTTATTGTGTCACTTGTTCTTCTTTGAAAGCCTATTGTGTTTATTAAAAAAAAAAAAAAAAAAAACAAAAACATTTCGTTTAATTTCTGCCATATAGCTTTGGAAATATCACAGCTATATGGCTGGTTTGTATTGCAATTTCACACACTTTCAGTAGCTCTCTATTATTTTTCTCTGTCTCTATAGACTGGGAGGCAATTTTGCCATTATGCTGTGTGACATACAGTACATTAAGCCCATGCCATGCTGATAAAAACGAGATGGCTTTGATAGCTCCATCTGAGCTCTCTAGCCACATATCTAACATGAAATCTAACAAAAGATATAAACAATAATAAAAAAAATAACCCCTTTCCTGTCACATGCTATTGAGGGGAATTAACTTTGAATTACTGTATTTTAAGTTTATGAGATTTCAGGGTTTTGTGTTATTGTACAGTAACTTCCTAGAACTGTTCTCAATGTCCATTAAATCTAGGACAAATGTAACATCTGTCTTGTTTTGTGACTAATTCCACAGAGATGAGCATGGTGTGTCAGGCACTGTAATAAACAGATGTTGGTGTCTGGTGTTTAATAAGTTTCTTTTTGCCAAATGATGCACTAAAATGTGGCCTTTAGCAGTGTTTCTCAACCATTTTGGAGCCAGCTCTGCACGTTTTCCATGTCACCTTAACCAAACTGATTCAGGTCTTCAGCTCATTAGCAGCGATTGAAAGACCTGGAATGGGTGTGACAGACAAATGAGACATCCAAAACATACAGTACCTGTCAACATTGGGATATAAAACAATAAGGTATATGCCCAATGTAACACCCCCCGCCCCACTGCAAAAAAATTAAAAATAGAAATAATAGCCCCAGATTACTAAATAAGTTCATGTGGGGCTGTTTTGTTGTAAATAAACTAAAATGTCAGTAATATGTTTTATTATAATTATTATTATTTCCAAAGGAACAAATACGTAGTATAAATTATCACCAAATAAATTTAGTAACAGTTGAATTATTAAAATTTATATCTATATAAATAAATAAATAAATAAATAAATAAATAAATAGAATCAAGTTATCATATTTCATTAATATTTTCTTTACTGTATAACTTATACATTTTGATGAAAGTTTTTTAATCAAATCAGAAAAATCAGAAAAATCATCAGAAAAATTTTTGTTTGATTACATTAAAAACAGTTTTGTCACTTTAAAAATGCACACATCTAACATTATAATGAAAGCATTTGATTGCTAAGCTAACTTTTTGTGTTCATTTAGGTCAAAAATAGTTGTGTTTGGAAAAACCTACCATGATCGAGATCTTTACGAGGGGTTGCGGGGGGCAACTCCTGGTGGTTTGGCAGTATGGGTTGTGTATATTATTGCCGCCTTCATAGAAAGATTGAAAATATGGGAAAATACCTTCACGGGATGATAGCTGGATAGAACTGTAAAATACAGGAGAATCCTGGGAAAAACGGGAGGGTTGGTATGCCAAAACATGCAGTGTATGCCAGGAATATGATTGAGAAACACTGGCCCATACAATTTTGTAAGTTGATCATTGTTCAATGTTTTTTTTTAAACAGGTTTCATATTTAGGAACTGCACCAAGGATGGTTGGACTGAAGTCTACCCATCATATGAGAATGCTTGCGAGATTGTAGAGGATGTGGAATCGGAAACTGAGGTATAACACTGATATTTGCCACTCTCCATGTGTGTAATAGTCAAATTTACAAACAATATTAGAGTGGAAATTGTTTTTCACAATTTTATTTTTCAATGTAGAGATCCTTGCCTACGTATTTACTCTGTACTTGGTAAATTGTTTTTTTGGGAGGTGGTAATACATTTTTGTGGTAGGAAAGAATACAGTAATCTTCAAAAGTTATAGTTAACTTGTAAAGAACAAGTATGGAGTATTGAGTGGATGTTTTGCACTTTTCTTGGCAAGTAGTCAATTTATGAACTGTCAGTCTGCGTGGTCAAGCCATTTCCACGTAAACTGTGATCTAGGGTCAGAGTCTATTGATTGAATATCCTGTTGTGGGATTTAGGATAGAATATAGTCTTGCAGAATGAGGCATTATTTAATGCTTTCTATGTAATAAGAAGCCAATTTACAAGCTAACAAGTTTCTATTTAATGGTTGCATAGGTTACTATATTAAAGTGTTACTATGTTATCTACAATGATTTATTAATGTTTGTGAGGCTACATGGCAAAATATCACACAATGACAACTTGCTGACCAAAATGATCTGCTGAAGTTCAGACTGACTGCATCAGAATGGAAACAAAGGTGATATAGGAGACATTAAATCTGAGTGTTTTATAAGCTCTTGATGTACTTGGATTTTGACAAATAACCATATCAAATATTTACAGAGTTTGGTTTACAAAAGAGTTGTACAATGTGTGGGAGTTTAATGGGTAAAAATGCCATCTTGATCCCAGAGAATGACCAGAAGGTTTTGAGCTAAGAAAAAGGCAGTACTTGAATTAAACACTTGTTAAGGCCTGGATACATCAAGCCAACAGTTGACCACTGGGCAGCGCCAGGCCATTGGTGAGCATCTGTCAGATTTGTTTGTTTGGTGTGTTCCACACGTTGCCTCTCATCGGGTTCACATCGAAGTGAGTTTGCCTAATTCAGCTTCAGTTGACCAAATCAACAAAACAAAAACTAAAGTGACTAAACTGAGCAACTAACACAAGTCAAGCAATAACACAAAAAATATGGCTGTCATTTTGTGTGATTTCTTAAATATTTTGCAAAATATATGGGATTTACAAAGTATGAAAATAAGAAAATGCTGCTTTGTTTAGTGGTTTGTATGTGTGCAGCACCAGTTATGGTTTTCCTTTGTGGAATGGCAATACAGATACTACCTCCTATAGGTACAGAAAGATATATCCTCTCACACAGGTGCACTATATATAAATATCAGGTTAGCAAGTATTGAGAGTTTAATTTGGATGCCAGTGAACCTCTTTCTGTCATCAGTGGAAAACATGTTCGATGTCTCAATATCAGATGAGTTGGGACCACTTTCAAACTTTAGGTGACCTAAACTTCTTCCTGATTTTTTGGAAATCAGTGGATGTCTTTTGGGTGTGAGTGCACCTCTTCTGGATATATTTTGCATGCATTTCAGATATCAATAGACCACTTGGACATATTTCAGATAAATTCCAGACATCAATGGACTACCTTCAGATGTCAGTGGATGCCTTTCGTACATCTGTTGGACGTCTTCGGATGTCTTACAAATGTCATAAGACCACATGAGATACTTTCGGACATCAGTGGACATCTTTTAAATGTTAGTGGACCGCTTTTGGAGGTCTTTCAGATGTCAGTGGTCTGCTTTTGGATGTCTTTTGGACATCAGTGGACCACTTGCAGACAGCTTTTGGACATCAGTGGAAGTCTTTTGGATGTTAGTGGACGTCTTTTAGACATAAGTGGACTGCTTTCAGACATTAGTGGACATTTTTCAGCCCTCAGTTTTGACCAATAGTGGACTTCATTCGAACATATTTTGGACATCAGTGGACTGCTTTTGACATCAGTGGACATCTTTTGGATGTCAGTGGTTGCCTTTTGGATGTCAGTGGACATTTCTTAAATGTCGGTGAACTTTTTTTTTATGTCAGTGGACTTCTATTGGATGTCAGTGGATGACTTTCGGATGTCTTTGCAAGTTAATGTATGGTTTTCAGACCTCAGTGGACAACTTTTGAAAGTTTCTCAAGTTGCCCCTTACTCTGGGGATATTTTTTGTGGTAAATTAATATTGTATGCTTTATTGTCAATTGTCTGTTTGGGTGTTGTTCCAGACCAGACAAAGTGACACTGCTGGATTTGTTGCCACTAGTTCTTTGATATCAGCCTGAAGTGTCGCAGGTTTTACAAGTGAGGTCTAAAGAAGAGCTTCTCTGAATGCTGCACCCTGAAGCAGATAAGCAACAGAAAAGCACACCCATGCTACATATTTCTGCTTAACAGAAATTGAGATCTCAATATGTATAAGCTTAACAAAATTAAGACAAGGAGTTCACTACTTTACTAGCTTCCACAGTCACTAGGTTTTTAATCCAACAGAGCACCTTGTTGAAATCTGTTAAAACAGAAAATTTGCATCAGAGATGTTCAATCAACAAATCATGTCAAGTTTCAAGGCAGTTGGGTCTAATGCAAAAGCCAAAAATTGTTGAAAATATATTTATATTGTAGACCTATTTTTATGGATGCACACTGAAACCCTGACTTACTCCCTTCTCCCTAATACTACCACCACTCTGAGCTTTTCACTCTATTTGCAAAAAAAGCTGAGCATTACTCATCTATTTAAATGCTGCCCTAAGGGACTTTGCACTGTCACAGTTTCATTTACTCTGCTGTCAGGCCTAAGTTCTGCAATGCAATCCTTTACACAGTTCCCATACAAAAAAATGGATTGAAATCACTGCTCACTTGTGGCACACATACAGTGCATCTGTATGGGCTGCCCATTTGTTGATCTCTTCAGCACTTAGCTTGCTCTTTCTATGAACAGGTCTCTTGCCTTTTAAAAGGATTACAAACTTGAAAGGCCATTTTGCTTTTGTCATGTTGATTTGAGCAAACTGTAAACATTTTACCAACAAAAACTGCTTTTAGTGTAAACATTCTATAATCTGTCTGTCATTTTCTTATATTATCTCTTTCTTTTTGTGACAGAAGACCATGGTTAAATGTTAAATAGCAAGTAGACAATACTCTGAACAACAATTCACAGATAATATGATTCTGTTTAACACACACTGGTACAGCTAACCCACATAGCTAAATATCTCTGGCCCAGCTCTGGCCCACACAATCAGCTTTTGCTTGGCCCACATGCTGCAGTGAATTATGGCAAATGACTGGAATAAGTCTGGCTTGCAGACAAGGGCCAAACATGGACCATATCTGGGCCAAGTCTTAGCCAAGTTAATAACCCATAACTGAGCCTGAACTGGGCCAGATATGTTGGTGTGTCACGACTGCAGTGAAATTGATAAACCCATGAATCATTGTGCTTTAGGCGTGCAATCGGCTTGCTTTTTCTCGAAGCGACCTGATTGGTAGAATTTTTTTTCTTTACTTTAAAATAATAAAAACGCATTTTAAATGTGGGTCAAGATAGGCCAGACTTATATGGCCCACATATAAATTAATCACATCTGGGCCTAATACTACATTTTTCATCTTGCCCAAGTATTGTGTGCCACCTTAAAGATGGTACCACCTCTGTGAAACCAGGGCCATGTTTGGCCCACATGGATGCCAGTGCCAGATGATCATCTGCTATGCCAGATTTATGCTAAATCGTGGCCAGAATTCTTTGCTACCTGGTATCTTTACAGAAACTTCCCATAGACTTAATGATTTGTATACTGTACAGACTGTATAATCTCTTCCCCTGCCCCAAATTCTCCCCTAAACTCAACCCCCACAGTAAACAATCTGCTTTTTTACATTTTCAAAATACCTCATTCTGTGTATTTTAAGAGATGTTTTCCTCATGGGGACCAAAAAAATTTATTGGGTCCCCATAATGTAAAAAAATACAAGGTAACAAACCCCAAAACAAAGCAAGCAGTTTAAGGTTAGCAGATGAGAGTGTTCTTAATGTTAACAAACCAACTGTAGTTGAAGACAAGAACATAATACTCCCTTCAGAAGGATGCAATTAATATCTACCACATGAACTCTATTTTTATAATGGGGTTCACTTGTGCTTGCATGGGGTTAAAGGTCCACCTGAAGTATAATTAGCTGCATATGCTGAAGTGCTAGAATAAGATGACCTGCTTTTATAATGGCTAATGACTGAAAAATACAGCATGCAGAGAAACGCATTAAGAGATGTTTCAATAATGTTTACATTTCATTAACCCACAATCTTCTATATGTGTGGTTTACTAGCTGGGGTGAAAGAGTAAAAATAAGCCCTCTGATTGAGCATTACATTTATTCATATAGTGGGTACAGAACATATTCAGAAATTATTCAGACACCCTACAATTTTTTACTCTTTGTTATATTGCAGCCATTTGCTAAAATTATTTAAGTTCATATTTTTTTCCTCTTTAATGTACACACAGCACCCCATATTGACAGAAACAATCTGAATTGTTCACAATTTTGCAGATTTTTAAAAAAAGAAAAACTGAATATCACAAGGTTCTAGGAATTCAGACCCTTTGCTTAGTATTTGGTAGAACCACCCTTTTGGTCCAATACAGCCATGAGTCGTTTTGGGAAAGATGCAACAAGTTTTTCTCACCTGGATGTGGGTATCCTCTGCCATATAGATCCTCTCTAGTTCTGTCAGGTTGGATGGTAAACGTTGGTGTATAGCCATTTTAGCCATCATGTAAATTGGGTTTAATCAGGGCTCTAGCTAGACCATTCAAGAACAGTCATGGAGTTGTTGTGAAGCCACTCCTTCTGTATTTTAGCTGTGTGCTTAGGGTCACTGTCTGGTGAAAGGAAAACCCCTGGACCAGTCTGAGGTCCTGAGCACTTTGGAGAAGGTTTTCATCCAGGATATACTTGTACTTGGTCACATTCATCTTTCCCTCAATTGAAACCAGTCGTCCTGTGTAACCCCGCCGGTCCTACGCCACCCAACCCGCTCTGAGCTGGTATCGAACTGGTGACCTTTCACATGAGAGTCGGGTGCTCTACCAAGGAGGCTAAAGACCATGGCCTCTAGCTTCTGTCGCTAGAGCACCTTTAGAGGTCAGAGGAGTGAGGTTTTCCTGCACAGCACTTACTAGCTGGCCTCTGCTATACATGCAGCTGAAAAACACCTCTACAGCATGATGCTGCCACCACCATGCTTCACTAATGGGACTGTATTAAACAGGTGATGAACAATGCCTGGTTTTCTTCACACATATACAGTACCACTTAGAATTAAGGCCAAAAAGTTGACTTTCTATAACTTTCTCCCGTCTCCCAACTGCATCTCTGGAGCTCAGCCACAGTTATCTATGGGTTCTTCTTTACCTTTCTCGCCAAGGCTCTTCTACCCTAATAGCTCAGTTTAGCCAGACTGCCAGCTCTAGGAAGGGTTCCAGTCATCCCAAACGTCTTTCATTTAAGGATTATGGATGAAACTTTGCTCTTAAGAACCTTGAGAGGAACATAGATTTTTTGTAACTTTGGCCAAATCTCAAATATTTCCATTTTTCCATGAACTTGTTGCAATAATTTTTGAATATTGCAAAAATATCCATATAGGGGTTTTAATATTTCTTATTTGCTGCACTTGAATGAAGAATAATGTAACTATTATATAATACATTCTTAATTTATTTTTCTGCACACTATCAATGGTTGACTACAACCTCGATTATAACATCTATAATATTTTTGACCTCAAGCAGTGAGACTTTTTCATGAAATCTACTGGTTTAGAACTATTATCATTAAGAAGCAAACCCAGTAGTCTAGCAGATAAAAGCTTATATTTTAAATAATATAATATACACTCCTTTTTATGTGTGCTGCAGCTTAATGATTGTAAAATGACTGCATTCTGAATGTTAATGCTGACATTTGTTCAACTTTGTCTCTTCCTGCTCTTGTTAGGTAGGACTTGTCAAGCTGGAAAAAGTGATGTGCTTGATTAAACCTGAGCCGATTAAGCCAAACATTAGCCCGGAGATTCATTTGAAATGCATGTGTTACATAACAAATGTCGTGAACCAGTTCTGAGCAGAATTTCTATGTAAATTGTTCACAAAAACAGATTCCTACATTAATTTCAGTGAAACCATTCATGTTCAAATGGATTTATCCACAATATGTTCTGCTTGTCTCAAGAATAACCAGAAAATGTTACAAAAAATGCATTCGTTGAAATTGGAGGAATGATTGAAATAACTTCACATATTTTTCTTATTCTTTTTGGATTTGTTCCAGACCACATATTATGCCACTTTCAGACAAGTGTACACTGCAGGCTACGCCACCTCTCTGATTTCCCTCATCACTGCCATCTTTGTGTTTACAGTCTTCAGGTAATGTAAAACTCCTCACTAAGCTCAGCAGCTATTTGAAAAGGATTAATCAGTGTGGAAAAAGCTGTTGTTTAATTTGGCAATCTGTTTTATTTCATTCAAAAACAGGAAGTTCCACTGCACCAGAAACTATATCCACATCAATCTGTTTGCATCCTTCATCCTGCGAGCCAGCGCAATCTTCATCAAAGATGCAGTTCTCTTTGCTGATGAGAATCTGGATCACTGCTTCATGTCAACAGTGAGAAACCACCAGCTGTCACACACTCAAGGAGAATTAGTTTTTTTCATAGATGTCTTTCCAATGAATTGGCAAATGCAAATTAAACATGTCAAAGCTCATGTTGATAACACTTTATTTTGATGTTCCCTTTAGACATTCTGTTGACTATTTATAGCTTTGCCCAGCCAGTTAATGCTTATTTGAGTTTCGGTAAACTCTCTGCTTAAAATCTGTTAAAACTTTATTTTGATGGTTCTTTATATACAGTTGAAGTCAGAATTATTAGCCCCCTGTTTATTCTTCCCCCAATATCTGTTTAACAGAGAGAAAATTTTCCAACACATTTCTAAACATAAGTTTTAATAACTTATTTCTAATAACTGATTTATTTTATCTTTACCATGATGACAGTAAATATTATTTTACGAGATATTTTTCAGGACACTTATATACATCTTAAAGTGACATTTAAAGGCTTAACTAGGCTAATTAGGTTAACTAGGCAGATTAGGGTAACTAGGCAAGTTATTGTATAACTATGGTTTGTTTTGTACTATTGAAAAAAAATGCTTAAAGGGGCTATTAATTTTGACCTTAAAATGACCCTTTCTGCCGTTTATTATTTCTAGTAAATTCCCCCATAGGCAACTGAATCGGAAGTTATTAAACAATCGCGAATACAAGCACACTTCCACATTGAAGAATAAGGTCAATACTGTGTGTGTGTCTCTGTGTGCAGGTGATGATCATTAGAAATCGGGTGATTGGGAAAAGGGTTGCTGCGTCCCAATTTGTATGTTTATCCTACGCCCTAAAAGTATGTACTTTTTTGTGAAGGAAAAATATATAGTTTTGAGTGTACAACAGAAGAGTATGCAAGCTTTTGGACATACTACTTCCTCATTAACAGAATTGCCATTCGCGAGTCTTTCATGCAGAGAAATCTTCTCAGGTCTATGGATAATTTTGCATTCAGACGTTAATGTCCAAACACGTCTTTATATAAGTTCAGTATTGCTGTTGCAGATGAAATATAACACAGAAAACGCGATTTAAATATGTTCCGGTTGGCTAGATATTAATTAGCAGTCATACATACATCTTTACCGAAGCTTCTCTACTTGACGGTTGGTCTTGCGCATCCATGTTTGTAGTTTATTTACACTATTTACCTGTGTTTGTAGTTCTAATTGAATTCACATCCAAAGCACAATGTACTCTGGGCATATTAGTGCTTAGAGTATGGACCCTTCTACACTTAACATTTTTACCAGAAATAGTAAAACATTTGGCATACTGTATTCAACATACTACAATTTAGGACATGCTAATTCTATTTTTAAATACTATTTAGGATGGATAGTATGCAAATTGGGACGCAGCAGGTGTGGGTTCTGACAAACTAGGTTACTTTAGTGTCTGCCTGACAGAAAGTACTAATTCTGTAAACCTTAACCTAACAGTATATTAATCCTTTACCAATACTAGGTTTTTTCCATACCTGCACTGCAAAAATGCTTGTCTTCCTTAGAGTTTTCGTCTTGTTTCTAGTCCAAATATCTAAAAGTTCTTAAAACAAGAAGCATTTCTTAGACAAGCAAAACATATAGTCTTGTTTTAAGAAATAATATGCCAAAATAAATTTAGTTTTCCCTTAAAACAAACTAACTATTCTGCCAATGGGGTAACCAAAATAATCTTGTTTTTCTTTCTGACATAAGATTATTTTTCTTACCCCGCTGGCAGATTATTTTTCTTGTTTTAAGGGAAAACTTACTTCATTTTGACATATTATTTCTTAAAATGCTTCTTTATTTAAGAATGTTTGGACTAGAAACAGGACAAAAAAAATCTAAGCCATAACATTTTTTTGCAGTGTGGCTTTTTTTTTTTTTTTTTTTGCTGTTGTTTTTAGAAACCTTTATGATTGTCTTACTTTGTTTGGTTCATTCAGGTTTACAGTAGCTATTATAGGTATCAAACAAGTCACAATTTTTTATTCCGGGTAATTATATGTCTAAAGCTGCTGACACGAAATTGGACCAGATTTTGAAGAAAAACTTAATTCCAAACATACACAAAAAAAAAAAAAGAGTTTTTTTTTTCCCGGAAATGTATTTGTGTTTAATAAAAGAAAAGAATTACTGATCTACTGAAATGTATTTAATAATTTGCTTAAAATACTTTTTTGTTAATGACAGCTTCAAGAGTTTTCACTTCTTGACAGTTATGTCCGTGTCTTCTATCAACTCAAATATTTTGTGCTTATTTTCTATTGGATTCAGGTCAGGTAATTGGCTGGACCATTCTAGCAGCTTTATTTTATTTTTCTCAAACCACATTTCCTGGCTGTGTGTTGGTATCATTGTCTTGTTGAAATGTCCATTCTTCATTCATCAGACTGCTAATGTAGGTGTTAAGACTGAATTAGCTAATAGTAATTTACACTGATAAGGAGCAAGGTTGCTGAGCAATTTAAGTTGCTGTCTGGGCTTTCCATGCCCTTTTAAACCTCCCTTTATGTGTTCAATACCTTTTCCTTGTGTCATTTCATTTTATTACAGGTAGCTTATTGTTTAATCTAATCAGATTAGTTTTTTGCCATCTGGTGAAAATTTTAAATCTGCAGCACCTTTAGAAATAGCAAGTGACAAATTGTTACAAATGATGATGCATTCAATATTTTTTTACCCACTGTAAATGGGTACAATTTTTGTATCCCTTCTCTACCCTAAACTTCTCACTCTTCATCTTTTCTTTATCCCATACTGAAAGGAAAAGGGTCTCTAGTTCGGGTCATGTTCAAAGCTAGACGCCCTCTTTCAAGACTAGAAACATATGCACTTTAACTAATGAGAGAATAGTTGTGCTCACATGTGACAATTAAGTCCCAGGTGAATAGGTGCCAGTTTTAAAACTAAATAAAAACATATATAGAGAATATGAATTCTAAAAAGAACCATCAAAAGAAAGCCCTCATGGTCAGTGAACACATGTTTCTAATTTGCGCTTAATCACAGCTTTTCAAGAAAAAGCATTTAAAGTCTGTAAAGTACACACTGATGTCTGTGGAAGTGGCAATAATGATCAGTGTAAGCTTAATTTGATGACTTCACACTGTGCTTATAGAATTAGTTCACTTGAGAGTAATAGAATGTAAAGATAATTTACTCATCCCAAGTCATCCATGATGTTCATGTCTTTCTTATTTCAGCTGAAGAGAAATTAATGTTTTGAGGAAAACAGTCCAGGATATAGTGGACATTAGCAGGTACAATAATGGTTGAAGAGCAGCTCAGAAGGGCTCTAAACAATCCCAGATGGGAAAACTGGACATTTATTTTAAAATAATGTTTTCAAAATGTTTATTGTAGTTGTAAAGGCCACTTTTAATTTCACTCAATTTGTCAATGCTTCAATGCTTCATACCTAGCCTGTAGTTTTTTAAAAGTTAATTCAGGAAAATGAACTGCTGTATTGGCTGAAAAAGTTATAAAATACTGGATGGCAGTGCTGGAGCCATATTGTAAATGCTCACAGGCCCTATTTTGTTGGTAACAGTTTATTCTGCTCTTCTCCCAGTTCATCAGACATGCATGTCATTTATTAGGTTGATAAATTTACAGAATCCAACAGCTCTTAATCTCCAAATTGCAGCTTATGCTAAAATTCACCTATAGTATACAGTAACTAAATTAAACACGATCATTATCAAGCTAAATATATAAGCTAAAATATATGTACTTACACATGTCATAATATAATCTTGTGAAGAAAGATAGTTAATAAAACAACCACTGCCCCCCCCCCCCCCCCCCCCACCCACAAAAAAAAATCTATTTGACGTTAGCATTTTTTATAAATGCCATCTCCTACAAAACTGCAAGAGGGCCTACTAGACTTTTAAATTTAAAACTAACATGTGAAACAGCTCATTTAGAAATAGGGTTAGCATTGCTTTCCAATCAGGTTAATGAAATGGCAATACTGTGCAGTGTTAACTACATCTTACTGCTGGATGCAAACCTAGCTGCAATCGCAAACCATGTATTTTTATGTTATGGACAAGAACACAAACAGGTTGATGACACAAATAGGTTAAATAAAAATTTTATTTCTCAAAGGTATAAATGTCAAATGGTGACATTTTGATTAAAGAAGAAAGAAAAGAAACTGATTTTATAGACTGAAAAGTCTGTTTAGGATCAACTTGTTAGTTCAGGCAGAAATATGTCAAAAGAGGATGCACACAATGCTAGAGCTGTTATTTATAGGTCGCCTGCTGGATTCATCCTGTCAGTGACAGTGACATTGCAAATATTAACCTGGGGTTTAGGGATTTACAGTGTATTGTATAGTGTAACATCAGCAAATGAACACGGGGATTAGCTGTTTACCATTGGCAATTTTTGAGCATAACCCAAGAATCCATTTTCTGTCAGCATTAGCTTCTCATTTCTGCACCCATTTTTCCACCCTGTTAGTATCAGCTGATTCACTGGTGCCTTAAAGGCATACTTTTCAAGATTTGCCTCCGCTTCAGCTCACAATCACCTTCTTTGAAGTATAAAAAACACTTCTTACACACTGTTCTTCCCCCTGCTTTGTGAGGTCTTTTTGTGCTATTTCTCATCAGCCCTACACAATTTCTCAACCCTAAAATTGTAGCATTGAGGAATCTGTTCTGACTAATAGAAAATTCTGAATGTCTTCCTCTTTTTCAGACTTCTTGCAAGGCAGCAGTGGCTTTCTTTCAGTTCAGTATTCTGGCGAACTACTTCTGGCTGCTGGTTGAGGGGATGTATCTGCAGACTCTTCTAGCACTGACTTTTGTCTCACAGAAGAAGTATTTCTGGTGGTATATACTTATTGGCTGGGGTAAGTTCAGTGCTTGAAAACTTATTGTTATATAATATACAATGGTTAAGTATTTCTTATTTAGAGAATAAGTAAAATTTTTATTAACATTTATAACAGTTTCAATTAGATGTTATGTACACTAAAGCAATACAAATAAGACAGTAATTTGTGAGATGTGATTCCAAAAAGGATAATTTAAAAAAATAAAAACTATTTGTTTTCAAATTTAATTTCAAAAACAGAATTAGGCCTACCGCGGTTTTCAGTGTTACATGATCCTTCGGAAGTCATTTTAATATGCTGATTTAGAAAGAAACTGTTCTTATCAATTTCTTAACCATATAATAATATATATTTTAACAATAAATGTTTTGCTACATGCATACAGTTCTGTGACAAATTTTAAGACCTTTAATTTTTACAGCAACTACAAAAAATTGTTTTAAATCATTATTAAAAATATTATTAAGGGGTTTAATAAGAGTTAATCCTGTACATAATTATGTTTTGTTATATTATGTTTTGCATTTATTGTAATATCAGTTAAAATTGTGTATGCACAAGTTGTCCGATCAGAGATCTCATCTTACCATCCTCCAGTTCAACTGTTAAGGCATGAAGAAACAAAACAGAGCCAGATTAAATCCAGAAGACATTTTAAAACATAAATATAAAACAATCATTTTAAATTATAATAATATTTCAAAACATTACTGTTTTACTGATATTTTAGTCAAATAAATATAGTAGGAGAATGTTAATAAATATTCAATATTATATATTATATTTTAATATATTATATTATATTGTATATACACTACCGGTCAAAAGTTTCTGGGTCAGTTTTAAATTTTATTTTAATTGTTTTACAAGAATATTATTATGTTCAAGGTGACATTTATTAAATGTAAGAAAAATTGTTATTTTTAAATATTTATTACAATTTTAAAAAGCTGCATTCTTATTGTAAGTTAAAAATCTATAAAATCGTTGGAAGAAATTATTAAATTAAATTATAAACTACTTTTGAAAAGTTATTTTATAGTTCAATAACTTTTCACAACTTTACAATTTTTACTGTATTTTTGAATAAATAAGTGCAGCCTTGGTGAGCAGGATAAGCTTATTTTAAAACATAAAAAAATTCCTACCAATCCCAAACTTTTGACCGATAGTGTACTGTACACTAAATATTTGTAGATACTATAACTATGTACATTCATGATTGGCTATGTAATGTATAAGTACTTGATTGGTTATCTCAATTCATTCTAAGTGTAGCATATAGTTGTTTAACTTGATAATTGTAGTGTGGCTTTCTGAATTGTGTTCCATTGGTGACACCTGTAGGCACAAGGTGAAACTGAAAATTAAACTATTTTTTTAACTATTGTTATTAAAATGATGGTTGCTCTTACAGATGACATGAAACCTAACTTAATGTTTCAGTATGTTTAATCATTTTACAACATGCTATTTGTTTATTCAGAATCAGTTCTGCTGTCTCTAACCTGCAGGTCTACCCACACTAATATTGACTATCTGGGTTCTAGCAAGGAATTTTTTTGATAACAATGGGTAAGTTCAGACGAATCACAGATACTTGTGTCTATGAACTGTGATACTGATATTTGATTTATGGTGTTGTATATTGAAATACACACTTATGTATATTTTGTATACATTTTGTATACACACCTGATTTTTTAAGTAATTAGTTAATGTGAATGTTACAGGTGTTGGGATGACACAGATGTTGCTTACTTTTGGTGGATCATCAAAGGACCAATCACTGTGTCTCTTCTGGTATGTGTATACAGGGTCATTTCTAGATTTGTTGGCATCCAAGGTGAGATTACTATTGTTTACCCCCACACGAGTTGCTTAATTTTATGCTACCCATCAGATCATGTTAGCAGCATCGATATGTAATGTGAGGCCAAAATATCACCCAAACCTAACCAAAACTATAACCCCAACCTCAGAGCAATTTATTTATACTGTTGGTAGCACAATGCGATGCATGAATTTGTGTCCCCTTCAAAAATTGCTTTTGATAAATTGTGTTTGCTGTCTACCTAGTTTGCTGGGAGGCAACTGCCCAGTTTGCTTATGCCAAAAAACTGTTCTGTCTGTACAGTATAGGCTACAGTAAAACTGTTGATTTTGGTGGAATACACTAACTGCAATAGAATTTTACTAAAATATATGGTTTCAAATAACTTCTGCAAAAATAAAATGTCAGAACATGAGTTAACATAGTTAGTGATCATACTAAATTAGTTTTTATTTAATTTTTTTTTCTTTTTTGTCTAGATCAATTTCTTAATCTTCATAAATGTGATCCGGATTCTTGTACAGAAGCTGAAGTCTCCTGGAATGGGTGGCGGTGATACCAACCACTTCATGTAAGACCTGATATGCAAACTTGAAGCAAACTGAAGCTATTTAATCTTCATTATATTTTCAGAGTCTTTTTGCATTATGGGTGTGTTTAGACCTGTAGTATCAGAACAAAATGATACTAAATCTGATTATTAACTTCATTAATGAGTAAAAAGGATTTTAAATGTTACCATGTTTTTAAGTCTACTATCGTTTACAGTACTTGCTTATTACTTTCTCCACAAATAAGTGATGTTTGTTATTAATGCCAAAGATAGAATACACCTTAAAGGACTTTGTTAATGCCGAATGTTATGTGTGCCTGTAGGAGACTGGCCAAGTCTACTCTTTTCCTGATCCCTCTGTTTGGAATGCACTACATGGTGTTTGCCTTCCTCCCAGAGAACACAGGAGAAAATGCTCGCCACTTCCTTGAGCTCGGCTTGGGACCCTTTCAGGTGTGTACAGCCATGCTAATGAAAGACAAAGTCAAAACCTTTTATAAAATGTTTCATTCTGAACTATGCACCATTTAAATTCACTGATTTCTGATGCTCACCATTTGTAAAATTGTTTGCTTAACAGTATAATATATTACATGATATTCAAATAGCACTTGTATTTTTGTTTTTTCTTTCTCTTTTGACAGCAAAATGAGAAACATGCTTGTTAAAAAGGTTTCACCTTTCTAACCCAATCTAGTTGACTTGACAAGATAATTACGTGGAAAGCCATTGTATTAGAGAAACGAAAAGCCATGCTTGAATTAAAAATCTGAACCTGAAGTTCTCTGTTAATTCAACTAGGGCTGTTTAGTTTCACATTTTTTAAAACTTAAGTGGTTTAAGACGACATGTTTCCACACAATCTTTGGTAAAGTGTGTTATAGAATGGTCCCATGTGGATATTTGAAGTGTTCTGGGGGTGTTATAGAGTTTAGTTAAAAAAACAACAAAACAAATAAAACTCATTATTCAGTTTACTGTGTGTTCATATTTTATAATCACCCATAATTGGGCAGGTAAGAAGTTATAGGAAATCCATAATGAATATCCAAAACAAAATACAATCCATGGACTGTCTTCTCTGAGATTAATATATTTTGTGTTTGGTGCAACAAGAATGTATTGTATTCATCTGTTAACTGAACTTTGATCTTAATCTTGATCTGAGAGATGTTCAGCTCTGGATATTTTTCGGTACATTTCTAAGCACTGTTTTGTTCATCTGGTGAATATGTATTCTTTTCCAGTGTCAAAGTGAATTTAACTGCATTCCAATAAAGTTTCATAAAAGTGCAGTTGTGCTCAAAGACAATAGGTCAAGGTCAGGATTTTCTTTAAATAATACATTGAATTTAGATTTGTCTTTAAATAAACCCTATCATGGAACCAGCTTAATGCAGGTTGCGATTCACTACCTTTATAAAGTATAGATGAGCTTGAGCAGGACATTTTTTTATTCTTCATTTTGCGGTTATATTATATTTATGTACTATTGGACAAGCAAATGTTGAATTATACTGTAATATAATATAACTTAAAGGCTGAATTGCTTAGCACATGTTCACTTAGTATTGTCATAACACATTTTTATAATTAACTACATACTTATTACACTTTGCTTACCATAATCAAATGATAACTTAAAGGGCCATGAAACCCCCATCTTTCGACTCAAGTCTACCTCAAAATTTTTCAAAAAATGCTTCATAATGGGCATGGAGCACTGCAAGCATAGGGGGGAGTGGGCGTAGCCGGCAGAGCAGGGAGGAAAAAAGGGGAGCGAACAATTGTTGTTAGTAGGCTCACAAAATGAGACACAAACTGTGAGACCTATGATTTTATAGTTCACAAAGTTAAAATGCAAAGAAATAAGCAGTAATTTAATGGCCTGCTACATATGTTATTCATAACTTCATATACACATAACCATAATTTGTTATATCATTATAAAGATAATCGTGTTAACACTATAAATGAGGAGGACTTCTCTCCTCCTGAATCCCTGCGTTTGAATGCAGACACAGTGGATAGCAGTGCAGCAGGTATTGCTCTCTTTCCCTGTCTATTCCAACCATTAGCCCTGTCAGTAATCTGGAGGATTTTAAACATATGGTGAACACAGCAGCATGGATAGGCAATGTGTCTGATTTGTAACAAACTCAACTGATAAAGACAAAGTCCATCGTTCCCCAATTCTCGTACAACTCTCTTGACAAAAATGCTTGCTGCAAACCAACAACTTTGCTGTATCAGCCCTGACAGCATTGCACGAAAAAACATGCGACAAACCCCGTGGATCATGGAAACCATCACATACACCCCTTCATGAACAGCTAAATTCTGCTTGCTATGCACAGACGCGGTCTCATCCAGTCATTAGGTCTTACAGCTTGGCAGGTCTGCCTTGCCTTCAGAAAGCACGTGCTCTCATGAATAATTAATAAGCAGGGTCCTCTCATAGGATAAGAAAACTTTGCTATGAATAATAATGAGAAACTGACATATCATCACTCCACTAGCACATTCAAACTACGTCATCAATTTCGCTCCCATTCGGTCCAAAATTAGCTGACAAAAGCTCAAAATTATCCAGTTTTCAATTAAAGCTGACAGGTATTAAAATTGTCTTAACTAATGCTCAACACACACAAATCTGTTAAAATCTCAAAAAATGTACTTGAGGGTTTCTTGAACCTTTAAAACATTTAACAGCCATTGTTTCAATTTTGACATATTATTTCACTTGCTCCAGATCTTCGTTCACAAAAGAACTATTAATTAACCTAAAATATGTTAACAGCTTCTATAAGAAATCCTGTGCACACACTTAATTTATCATATGCCTTACATTTACTCATTTGTAAAAAAAAAAAAAATGGTTTGTGACTATAGACCACAAAACCAATTGAGATTTTTAGATCACCTGAGAGTAGAATCATTTTTTTATTTATTTATTTTTTTAGATTGATGTATACTTTGTTAGATAGAACAATATTTGGTCGAGATACAACTAGTTGAGTATTAGTATATTGATAAAATTGTCTTTAAAGTACAATGAATGTCATATGCATACTAATCTAAAACTAGTTTTGACATATTTGTAAGTAGGAATGTTACAAAATACCTTCATGTAACATGATCTTTATTAAATAGTGTAAGGATGTTTGGCATTTGGCATTAAAAAGATAATTTTGATCCATACAAAGTTTTTTTTTGGCTATTGCCAATAATTCTAATTAATTTATGTTTGTTTCTATAGTGCTTTTACAATGTAGATTGTGTCAAAGCAGCTTAACATAGAAGTTCTAGTAAATTGAACCTGTGTCTGTTCAGTTTTCAGAGTTGAAGTTCAGTTTAGTTTAGTTCAGTGTGGTTTAAATTTCGCTGCTGAAAGTCTAAACACTGAGGAGTAAATCCATCGATGTGCAACTCCACAAGTCCCAATTTTTCTTAACCTGTTCAACATAGCACTGATTTTGTGGTTCATAGCCACATTTAGAACCATTTGTCTTTTACTTTTTTATAATATAATATAATATAATATAATATAATATAATATAATATAATATAATATAATATAATATAATATAATATAATATAATATAATATAATAAATAAGCAAATAACATGAAAAATATTGGCTAGTTACTGCAGTTGTTAAATTATTTAAGCTTTTCCTGTACTGTGATTGTTAATGCAGCCTCACTGACTTTGTATTATACTTCTTTGTGTTTTAGGGTTTTGTTGTGGCTCTGTTATACTGTTTTCTTAATGGCGAAGTAAGTCACACATTTTTTTTTTTCTGTGTGAAAATCTATCCTGTTTCCCATCCTGTTTCCCAAATACATATGAATTTGTTTGTTTCAGGTACAAGCAGAGCTGAAGAAGAGACTGTGGAAGTGGCAAACACAAAGTTATTTGAGATACAGTAAGAGAAGACGAACCCTCTTTACAGAGAGCAGCACAGTCACACAAATCTCCGTTTTAGAGAAATCCAGCCCTAAGGAGCTGCCCTTAACCGAGTCCAACAACAGTGTGTCCACCGTCTGAAACCAGGCTTTACATTCATCTCATGTCTTGTTTACTTTTTGATATTTCTTCTTTCTGAAACATAGTAGACTAAGAGACTTTCAGACTACATCTGAAAACAGATTTTTTTTTGTTTTAAAATGCTCTCCGTCTGCAAGTGTTTTTGATTGCTTTCCAAATATTTCTCATCCACATTAAAACATCAGAAATCACAGAAATTACTATAAATGATATGTCAAAAAATCTTAGTGAAAGCAGACATAAAAGTTCTTGTGCTATCTTATGGCACCTTCATTCAGGTCGAACTTAATCCTAATTTTAAAATGTTCTATCACTATTGAATGCTTGTAATCTGATCATTGTACAAAGCAACATTTATCTATAGCAACACAAAGTCGAAGTGAATAGGACATAGTGGGAATTTACTTAATAAAATATAGGCCTTGTACACTCTATTAACACATTTTCAGGAGTGACAAGCACATTTAAATATTAGACTAAATATTTGACACAATTTATGTTTTACATTTGTATGAAATACGACACCTAATCGAACTAAACAGAAATGGAATTAGGACATGTGGAGTATGTCGATTTTAATCGCATTACTAAAGTGCAGAACAGACTTGTAAACACCTTAATCGAACCATTACCATCATGTAGGACTTTTCACTGTGTGTTTGTAACTTTACAGAGAGCATCTTAAAACGTAGTTTTTTTTTTTTTTTTTTTTCAGATGTATCTGGATTGGTGTAGATCAGAGGTTTCCACACTCTGTCCTGTAGGGCCAGTGTTCTAGGGAATTTTACTCCAACCCTAATCAAACACACCTGAACCAGCTAATCAAGCTCTTACTAGGTATACTAGAAACTTTCAGGCAGGTGTGTTGAAGCAAGTTGGAGCTAAAGTCAGCAGGACACCGGCCCTCCAGGACTGACTTTGGACACCTCTGGTGTAGATGAAGCTTAAAATCACATGGACCAAATTTAAAGAACTCTTCTGTAAGCAAGAAAATACAGAAAAAAATATATTATTATTTATGCAAATGTCATGCATTGAAGATCTTATAAATAGACTGAAACATCCAAAGACATTTTTTTTCTTTTCTACGCATCACTGAAATATGAGCACTGTAACTTATTCACAATGCAAAAGCACAAATCATATTATTTATTAAAGATTATTGACGCTATTTACAGAACTTTTTTTTATTATGCAGTTTTGTGATTCTTGTGATCTACTTGCATTATATGCAGCTTAATTGCTTAGTGTAGAAAATGATGATCACAACTGAACTTTATAAGACGTGTTGCTCGGTAAGTCATATTCATCACTCCTTCATTTGTCATTTGACTTTTAGTTGAAATTGCCTTGATGATAAACAACAAACTGCCTTACAGTAAACTGAGACCTCATTTTTGGATTTCCACAAATAATAGCTAACAATTAAAGGTATTTTCCTATTCATTAAAGCATCTTCATATATTTATAAATGTGTTTCAAGGCACCATATTGCACAGTGCACTAGCCCTGTATGTACAAAGAAATATTACATTTCTACAGGACACACAAAGCATTCATTTGTTTCTTAAAAAGCGGTTATTTTCAAGATATTTTATTCATCATAATTAAATGAAATTTTATTATATTTATTGCAAAGGAAAATGTTTTGAGACACATGAATTTGCAGAACTCATCGAATATTTGACATACTGTAATATGTGACAGTTATTGACACAATTGGGTGGTATAATAATAATGAATAATAGTGTTTTGAAAATTCCCTATTTAGGAATGCTTTGCAGTGCACACATCTGGAGCACTACACTGTAAAGTTCCTTGTTGGTAGAAATGTTTTCTGCTTTCAACATGTTTTATTGTTGCTAATTGTATTTGTAAATATACTTGCTGCTTGTGGTAGATTTGACCTGATGTCTAATGTTTTCCGCTCTGTTATTTGGTGTTTTGATAATGTATATAGAGTTTAATTAATATGAATATTTATTTTAATTAATAATAATTTTTAAACAAATGTATTTGTACCTAAGCTATTATTATTTCACTATATTATTATTATTATTATTATTATTATTATTATTATTATTATACTATATGCTGTCTAGACTATGTGGGACTAAGAATTCAAATCATCCAAACATGATGTGAAAACGGAATTAGGGCCCGTTTTGGTACGGTACGCTACAGTTCGGTATGCTTTTATGTCAGTTTCCACTGTCAAAGGAACATCTGTAACTTTCTGACAATCTGGTTATGGTATATGATTTATTTATTCCCTGATTGTTTTCAATATTGTGTTGTGTATTGTCTTATCTGCTTGTGCTAGATTCTAGATTCTCATTGTCCTAACTGTGTGCGTTGTTGTTACATTCACCAACCTGCCTTAACGTATTGAGTTATCAGATGTGTGGTTTTGTTAAACGTGTGGAGTAAAAACCTTTATTTTGTGCTTTATGACATTATTATTGTATTAATATTGTATATATGAATGTAGTTTTGGATGAAGACAAAACTAATTTGATTGCTTATTGAAAGACCACGTTATTTATAGCAGTATTTCTCAACCATGTTCCTGTAGGACCACCAGCTTTGCACATTTTACTTGTCTCCACATTTTACTTGTCTTACTTGTAACCAAACACACCTGATTCTGATCAACAACTCATTAGCAGAAACTGAAAGACCTGTAATGGGTTTGACAGATATCTAAAACATGCAGTGTTGGTGCTCCTCCAGGAATGTGGTTGAGAAACACTGATTTACAGAATCATGGTGCAGCCCATGAATACTATTTAATTAAGTTGTCATTTTAAAACTTTATATTTTGCCACTGAAACTATTAGGTTTTACCAGTTTGTCAGCAAGATTTAATTTTTTATCAATTAAATACAATGAAAATTAACATGAGGATTTATTTGTTTTTGTTTTGTTAGAGTAAGTTTGTCATTTTATTTTTACATAAAAAAATCTATTACTCTAAATGACGAAAGAATATTATTTCTCCGATAATTTTAGAAATTTTTATTCAGATTATATATATCATATTAATAATGCTTTTTTTCCCTACAATTTTATCTACCCCTTTTACTACCTGACAAAGTCTTGTCGTCTATCCAAATTCTGCTGAAGAATTTGCCCTCTCCTGTGGTTTGTAATGTAATGGGCAGCACAAATGTCTTGATACCTCAGGCTGTTGATGTTGCCGTCCACTCTACAGATCTCTTGCAGGCCCCCATACCGAATGTAACCCCAAACCATGATTTTCCCCTCACCAAACTTGACTGATTTCTATGAGAATCTTGGGTTCATGTGGGTTCCAGTAGGTCTTCTGCCGTATTTGTGATGATTGGTATGCAATTCAACAGATCATTAGGAAAAATCTGCCTTCTGCCACTTTTCCAAATAATCAACTAGAAGTTATTATTTTTTGCTCTTACAACTGGGATCGACAACAAGACTTTTTTTGCAGGTGTAAATTATATATTTTTGGTATCTTTCGAGCAAGATTGCTAAATAGAAAATTGCAAGTACAAATTCTTTTTCCAAAAAAAAAAAGCCCCAAAATTTAATGATGTTTTCAAATCAGAAGTCTGTCATATAGCATACACACACATCAAAACAGAAAAAAGGACAGTTTGTACAGTACATTACAATCAGTGACATAAAATATACCAAAGAAAAAAAAATACACAAAAAGCTAGCAACTTTCCACTAAAGCAAGTTCAGCTGTAGTAAACATCATCTAGAACATTCAAAGAAATCTACTGTCATTTACAAGTCTCCCAAATCACGGTAATATTAACATTCTAAATACTAGACGTATTCTCTGATACTGTATACTGGAGCTTAAAATAAGACATGTAGTGTGCATGAAGTGACATTAAGTGTTTTGCATCTCCATCCACATCACAATGTTAGCTCTATATTTAGCTATATATACACATCAAAATCCCTATCTTGTTCTACAATACTAGTTATACATTTTCAAACAATTCAATTTACAAAAAAAAAAAAAAAAAACTAAACATATGTCATTTCTGCTCTGTTATCAAATATAAAAAGAACACATATTGTCATCTCCATACCCGTGTCACGTTGACAGCTCACTTCATTTCATCATCAGCCCATTTTTTATGTATATTCTAAGCCATATATGTAATCATAACTGGGAAATTGGAATGGAAATTGCAGGCACAAGTGCTAAAGCATCACTATAGTGTCTGTCGAATGTTGTAAGAGGTATAAAAGGTGCAGGTTTTCTAGTTTTGAGTGGTTGTATGTACAAATATGTGCTGCCATCCAACTCCTTTCAATGAGAGGTATCAGAGAGGTGTTTCAAATGTACTAAATCTATACAAAAAGTACTGTAATAATTAACAGAATATAGTAAAAATAGTTGTGATGTGTTTTCGAGAAAGTGCACATGCTTGTTGGCCCTATTTTTTTCCCTTTTCTCTTGAACAACAATATTGCTGCACATTAATAAGAAGTCACTCACTTTCTTTGTATGTTTTAGCATCCACTAAATCACAGGAAAACATGCATTGTTTAAGATGAATAGACAATGATGTTGGAAAAACTATGTTTAAACATTAGCTCTTTAGTTAACAATTATGATAGAAATTTGTATTTTAAATAAAGCCCAGTGTAAAATCTGTTAAATGGCCACAAGTGTTTGTGTTACTTTAACATTTATACACATAAACATAGATAATTTATTGTTATTTATTTAGCTCTAAAGTGTCTACAATGTATTGCTAAAGATTGCTTACTCAATGTAATGATAAATCACACTGATTATGTCATTTAATGAGAGACTTTACTAAATACACTTGTTTTTTAATTATTGACATTGACTTTTTCATGAAGAACCTATGTAAATAACCTTTTGTTTGCAAGAAACATCATTTATAGCTAGAAAAAAAAAATGTATTATCGAAATATTCTGTAAAAAAAAAAAAACTGAAGGGAACCCAAATTGGTCCTTTTAATAAATGGAAAAAATCTAACTGACCTTTTTGAGAGTTTATTAAGAATATTCAAAATTGTTTATTTTGTCCTGTGGTAAAAGTTAAAATACTTTTGTAGTTTTTTTTTAAATAATAAAATATCACCTAGTCCTTATACTGTGTGTATTGTTTAGTATGTTGCTGCAAAAAACATTAAAATTATGTTTAATTTTAATTTTAATTTTTTTTTAAAAAGCGTGTTTTCTTGGAAAATATATAATACATCAATTACAATAAATGATCATAATTACAGGATTTACCTTCTTGCTTGTTGAAAGTAAATGAACACTAAACTTCCCACTTCAAATGTTCAAGAATCTATATAGAGCATCATTTTACATATAAATAAATAACAATCATATAAAACATTAGCTCTGACCTTGTGTGCATTTTCTTTTTGCAGTTATCGTTTGAAAACCAAGGCATTTGTTTAATACAAATAGCTATGCTTAACAAAGGGAGAATACAGTATGTAAACAATATTAAACTGGGGAGAAAAATGTTAACGAATCATAAAAAAATGTGTTGTTGTTTTTTTTTTTTCTCAAATTTTCCATTTTTCCCCATATATTTTTTCATACCAAATTATGCATGACATGTTTTGAACTTTAGCTTTACTAACAGAAAACTGAAGGCCTGTTGACAGAACAAAACTATTTTGATTTCTCTGAAGGCTTCTTGGTTCACTTCAATTGTTAAAAAAGCACTTTCACAGACAAATGCAGTAATGTGTTAAGCTTCGCAGTTCATCTTTGAAAACCCAAATAATTGTCTCTGTTGTGAAAAAAAGGCACTTAAAAAAAGATCTTCATATAGCTATGGAATGACATCAGTTGCAAAAATTGCAAACTAGTACGGCAGATGACGTTTCGGGGTCAAATATCCAAAAAATGTATCTTTGGAATTTTAAAAGTGCTCTATTTGTACGGTTTTACGACATTAAGTTACAAAATGGGCAAGATGTCAAACATCATGAATAATTATGAGCTTTCAAAAAGTGGTGTAAAGAAAGGTAAATAAATAATTCACTGCTATAAATTCACTGATACGACATTGAGATTTATATATATATATATATATATATATATATATATATATATATATATATATATATATATATATAGTAAATATGCCAAACATTGTGGTATGTGGCACGTGTTTACTGCTTTGTTATATTCTAATTGACATTTTCTGTACCAACGGCTATTTAAAAATATAATATGTAACCAAAAGAAATAGAAGAGGAATTCACTCAGTAAAAAAAAGTTATTCTTTTAAAGAGGTTTCAAATGCCAGTTCGGGAAATACTGTAGGCCTAAGTCCCAGGACTTCAACATTTACTAAACATCTTCATTGTCCTTTCTCTGCATTCTCTTCAATATACATTTACAACATAATAAACTATTTACATATTAAATTCATCTTAGGAACAGGAAATCAGTTCATTAAGCTCCTGTGGGCCAAAAATGTTATTTCTTCTCCTTTCAAAAATGACTCTTTCCACTTGATGCTGTCTTCATTCAGACCAACCGCTTCTGTATGACAACGAACTAATGCGAAATCTTCACAATTCTTCACAGACAGAAAGAAAGAAAACGTGACAGACTTTTTTATATGTACAAAAACTGCATCCTAAACACCTCACAGTTACAGATTCGGAATTTTTGTTTACTTCGTAAGTAATTCCTTTCGGTTCATATCAAAATACAACACCGTTTGCGACCTCCTCTGATTTCTCACAGCGAAATCCTGCCATCTATTGGCGATTGCCAGATAATACAGCTGACGGTTGCCAGATATTACAACTTCAACCGACACGATACGGACCTCAAACGAAGATGAAACAGGATTTGTATGTTGTTGACGCACTGTAGATTATGGGATGTCGCTCTGAGGTGTTTGGCCTTCAGTTTGTGGGTCTGAGCGTTCACGTGGCCGGTGTTTCGGCTTGAAGGCTGGACATGCGGATTTGCGAGCTGCTTTTGCTGAGGATGGAGAGCTGTGTTCCCCCGTTGACTCCACTGCTGGCCAGAGAAGGGTGTCTGTGCTTCATGTCCACCGCAAAGTAGCGGTTCACCGTCCAGCTGCGCCACTTTCGCTTGATTTCGGACTGCACCTTTGGGGGAAATTCACAGGGTTGTTAAGCTGTTATTGGATCTTACAGGCGAGCTGCAGATGTTTTTACATGCTGGTTATGGAGAGGCCTGAATTTTAAATAGGTTTGGTTAATAATTTATATGGAAGGCTGGTTTAATGAGCAGTGTGAGAATGAGCCTCCAGAGACATTTTTCTTTTCATAAAATAGAATGCAAGTTGGAGGTTCATTTATTTATTTTGGTTCTTTTAAATAATTTATAATAAAATGACATCTAGAGACATCTGTAAACAAAATGCAAGTTAAAATGATTTCTTGATGGACAAATACTATCATTAAAATGTATTAATTTATAAGAAGAAATTTAAATTAGGGGAATTCATTCTTTTAAAAGAATGCATGTTAGATTTTTCTTATTAGGTTTTATCTAATAAAATATTATTTAAATACGAGTAAAAATATAAAAATGGACATAATTCATATAAAAACATTCTTTAATTTATTCATTTCCTTAAGCATAAGGTACACAATTTAACTTTTTTTCTTTATTATACTTTATAAAAATAATAATTTGTTTGAAACATAATTTAAACAACAATAACAAAATAGTAATTTTAGAATAAAATGAATGTTATTTTAAATATTTAATTTTAAATACCTCCAAAAAGAACACAAGACAAACTCTTCATCTCATCTTATTTCATCTTTTAATTCCACTTAATTTGAGGAATTATTATAAAATTGATCGATCAATTAGTCGATTAAATTATATTATACTAATATTCTTTTAATGAAAGG